CCCCCCCCCAAAAAAAAAGAAAAAAAATCCTAGCTCCGCCACTTTTGTTGAACACCATGATATCATTAATCCTTAACCTTATTTCTGGGTCTTTAGTAAAAGATGGATTGAATAAGAAACTGGGCATGAGCTTCTTTTTGCTGATTGAGCTATTGTATGCGTTGCTACGGGTATTATTTACCGGGTTATATTCGTCACTAAATTGATAATATGACTTTTGTATATAACTATTTATTTATAAAAGCTTTAGTGACAATTTTTTACTATTATTTATATTTTGAATCTCCTAACCAATTAATAAATTAATATACCAATTAGCAAGTTTTATCATTTTTTTTATAATAGAGCCAAAAAAGATTTTTATTTATGAAATGTCTGATAAAGGTTAAAATCATCATCTGCAAGAAAAAAAGGAGAAATGAACAGTGTTTTCAAGGTTTAAATTTTTTTTTCAAAAACAAAGCTAGAAAAGATCTATAATAAAGGTTAAAATCATCATCTGCAAGAAAAAGGAGATAAGAATAGCATTTTGAAGCTTCAAAAATTTTAATTAAGCTTTAGTAGCGGATAAAGGGCCAAATTTTGTATTGTAGCATGTAGAGTATGTTTAAGAATCGAAAATCACAGTGTAGCACGAACAACAAATTTAATATTCTGCCTCACTGTAACATGAATGGTGTTTGTTGTAGTATGAACGATGATTTTAAGTTTTTGCTCTCAGGTTAAAAAAGCAGTAGATGTATATTGGTTAAATTCCAATATTACTGGTTTGGAAATATGATAACTATAACATGAGGGAATTAAAATTTATATATTTAATTTTTTTTACATTATTTTAGCTTCTTAACACTGTTGTGCTTTATTACCTTGAGTTGTCTAATGTTATATTAAAAGCGTTCTTCTAAATTCTCCATTATTTCTGTAAAATATAATGCAAAGCATAACCCCTAGTTAACTACCTTGTTCATAAGCCTATTATTTAGGTTTACCTTGTTCTAGCTTAAGTTTAGCATATGTTAGTAGGACTTTTTTCCGGGCATATTGAAGAATAAATTCACAATTAGTTTTGGATCTGTAATAGGTTTGTTTTCTCCTTTTACTTGTCTTAAGTTGGCTTGAATCCATTCCCATATATCAGGTTTGGATTCTTATTTCTATCCAGTAGGTTTTAGTTAACACGTGCACATTTCAACCCAATGTTCTCTGTTAAAGTTTTAGCATGTTGTCTCTGGTATATGCAAAAGACATACCTTAATCTTTCTTTAAGTTTCATTGGGGATGACATTTACAAGAAGGGGGAATTTTTTTTATAGGTAGTGTCTGAACTTTCCTCCTTGCATGTGATCTGTGATCTTATTAAAGATAAATGTCTTACTTATTTCTGTTGTATATAATGCATGACTCTTTCTTCTCGCTTTTGGTAGTGCCTGTTTGTGTCTGTGTGTCCTCCGGGATGTTTGGGTGGGAAGATATTATAAAGGTTGCCAGTGTCTTATAGATCCCGGCATGTGAGTTGCAGGTATTTTGGGATGTGAGTGTCCAGGTGTGCGGTCCACGCAATTATATATGTTATTTTTGTTCTTCACACGATAAGTCTAACGCTTCTCCTATTTGTAAACTTCAGCCTTGGATTTGCACAACAATAATTATTAAGCCTGACCTAATTTCTCTCCAACAAGCAGCGACCACCCAAGTGTATTTTTGCTGACATCAGCATGATCCATATGTGAAGTTAGCCTCCCCAGCCGTGTCTTCTTTCTTCCTCCTGACCTCAACCTCCGAAACCCAACCCAACATCGCTCCAGTTTGCCGCCAAATTTGATCATTGATGACATAAATCTCATTTGACTGTGATGAAGCATCACTATTGATCGCTTTTTGAGTCTTCTTCAGATGCCTAACATAACTGCAACTTGCATGCAGAGATTACTTGTAGAAACTGGTTTTCGGAGATTACATATAGAAACTGGTTTTCATAATGTTTCTTTATATCGCAGAATAAGAATTACAACCTTATTTTAGAATAAACAACATGCACCATGCATGCATGAAATGGAAGAAGATAAAACCAAATAAAACCCTCACTTAAGTATCTTAACTAAAAAAGAAGCAGATAAAATCAAATCCAAACCAAAAAGAAGATAATTTCAAATTTTTACTAAAAAGAAGATAGAATAAAATCCTATTTCATTTCTCTAATAGTAAGTGCATTAAATTAAATCAAATCTCCAAAATTGTCTTACGTCAGAGGGGTTTAGATTTCATACTCATAGTGCATAAAGCAAGTATTTAACAACCATATTTCATACTTATGGAGAGTTGATTTAAAAAAACAATGAGCTGATAACTTTTCTATTATGATGAAAGAATAGGGTTGAATCATTGATCACAAGTGCTTTTAAGACGCATGAAAATGGGAAAGAATATCTTGTGAACTTGTAGTCCTGGCTTATCTACATTGAGCTCTAGCGAACTTGTAGTCCTGGCTCACATGCAAGTTTTTTTAGCCTCTCGTTATGCTTATTTCCATCATTTATCTCTCTTCCACCATCATGAATAATATCATGGTAGTGAAAATTTCGGTGATTCGGTCATCAGTAGGAGTAAATTGCGAACATTGAAAAATGAACACGACACATTACAGGTAGTGAAGGTCCAATTTTAAAAGGGACCTTTTTGATATTAGTCTCTTAAATCTTTCATTTCATGTTTAGAAATTAGTGCTTCAAGTCATTGAAGTTGCTATTATTCTATTCTTAATTTATTTTGAAATTTGTATGTCAAAATCATTGAAATTGCTAATAGGTCCTTCAATTCTTAAGTTATTTTGGAATTAATTCCTCAAATCATTGAAATTTCTATTAGGTGCCTCAATTCTTAAGTAAAATCTATTGTTGCAGCTATTTGTTGTCTATCAGGTTCAAATTATTTGTTTCAAATTACTTCCTCCATTTGCTATATCTACTTTTGGTTCGGGGGACTAATTTCAAAATATCTTTAGAATTGGGAGACCCATTAGCAATTTCAATGAGTTGAGGGACTATTTGAAAATAACTTAGGAATTGAGGGTCCTGGTAGCCCTTTCAATAACTTGAGCAACTAATTTCAAATAGAAAAGATTTAAGGTACTAATGTCAAAATACCCCTTTTAAAAGTAGCAAGCATGTAGTGTTAGAAGTGGCTATTCTTTCCACCCCTAGCATCAAATAGTGATAATAAACAATTCATTTGGAGATTATTGCACGTGCTAATTTTCTTGAACTATTCATTTTTGGACATTGAACTTGCTTATCTGGGTCTGAAAGGTCTAGGGACCTTGTAGTCAGTATTAGGGGTAAAAGACTATCCATATAATATCCATATCCTTATCCATTAAGATGCAAATATGGTTACTAAAATCTGTATCTGATAGGATATGGTTACGGATGCATATATATAGTGAAATATATAAATCTGTATTCGAAATATCTGAAAATAGGTTGATCATACAATTGCAACAACTTTGATCCTTAGATTAATGGATTTAAAGTTAAATTTGGTGATCAAGAGATCTAGTCTTAGCTTTCAGATATAACGAAAATATTAATGAACTCTCTTGGATCGTATGAACTATATATTTTTCAATATTATTGGGTTTTCTCATATCTGTTTTTGTATCAACATGTTTATCCGCTTATATATCTATATATTCATATCTGTATCCGATTTTAGCAGATATGAATATGAATTTTCCTTACCCAGTCATATCCGTGATTCATAGGCGGACACGGATATAGTAAGTATCATAGCCGAGCCATATCTGAACCGTTTGCATCCCTGGTCAGTATGCTTCCTAAAGAGAAGGGTAGAATGTTATCGCACGTTAGTATAATGAGTGCAGGATTTGATAATCATAGTACAAGTTGACAATATGACAATTTTATGTGCTTCCAGGCTTCCAGCTTTCAATATGAGCTGGTGGTCAGGCAATCCAGATATTATGAAAATTTTAATGATGATATTTTGTTTCCAATCTCTTAAATATTCTAAAATCATTATGATAAATCTTCTTAGAAAAATAATGTTTGCCTGTAGTTAGTTTTAATGATGATGTATTGGAAGTTGTGATTCTTTTTTTTTCCAGCTGATATCAAAGCGGGCTTCATTCTTGAACAGCCGTTTCCACTACTTGTTTCTAACATCGGAAGGCTAGAGTATGATATTTTGGGGGAAATTGGAGTACCCAATACGAAGGTGTTATTCAAGCTATTACAGTCATCTAACGTTCTATTTAAGATGTCTTTAAAATATTCACTAAAAAAGGATCATTGCACCAGGTTTCCATCATTTCCATGCGTCCTTCAGATTCAACAAATTGGACATATGTGGACTTTGCTGTTCTTCCCAACCCCAAAACTGCATCGATAAGCTTACCAGCCTTGAGTGTGTTGAGGTCATCTTTGGTGGAGCTTGTCCTTCAACAGTTAAATCTATCTCTGACACCATCTATATTTGGGCAACCATCCTCTTTTGAAGTTATGAAGTTTCCTGGAGGCATTACGGTGATCCCTGCACAGTCAGCCTCTATCTGGGAGATAATGCAGATATTGTTTAACTTCTCACTGAACAACTCCATTGTTGAGATTCAGAAAGACCTTGAGGAGTTGAAATACCAGCTAAAAGTGGGGTTGAATCTGAGAGCTTATGAGGTGCTCATTCTTTCATCATGCATATTCTTGCAGAAACCAATCACGAGATGTTGATGATTATTTATCATTATCTCCTACTTGTGCAGAATGTATATGTGCAGATAACAAATGTGAATGGTTCGACAGTGGCACCTCCAGTTATTGTACAAGCTTCAGTTTTGTCAGATTTTGGTAGCCGTAGTCTTCTTCCTGATCGTCTGAAACAATTGGCACAGGTGATCCAAGGGCCTCATGCAGAAAATCTCGGCCTTAATCACTCTGTTTTCGGTAAAGTGAAAGAGGTTGTGTTATCATCATATCTGGAGCATTCAATAGAATCCCCTACTCCATCTCCATCCCCCTCCCTGTCTCCATCCCCCTCTCCATCTCCATCTCCTTCCAAAGGAAATCCTTATTCTGCACCTTCTTCGTACCCAACTATTCCATATTCTCCGGTTCCATCAGTTGGTCATACTCAACCACCATGTTTGTACTGCACATTTGCTCCAAGGAATCCACCTCCATATGCACCTGAACCTGAAAGTGGTCCAGAACCACCTCAATCATCTTCCCCTCGCTCATCAACAGGTGATCTTGCTCCGCCTCCTAGACGTGGCCCATGTCTTTCTTCCTCATTGCCACCTAGTTCTTTGAGTTTTCATCCTCAAACATCTCCTTCTAACTATGCTCCAATGCCAGCCCTTTCTCCCCAGCATGAACCTCCAATACCTACTAGTCCAATGGCACTAGAAGCCTATGGCCCCAGTTCACCCAAAAACAGGAGAAGCGCCAAATATCCAACAACACCAATATTGGCATCATCAAATATCTCTCCATCATCAATATGTGAGTTGCTTTTGCTTATTAAATTTCGTTGGCACTGTTGAAATTAAGTTTATCTCTGAATACTTAAGTCCTATTATACTTTTTTTGTCCTTTGATTTTTAAGATGAGGCATCATTATGCTAACCTGAATAATAGTAATATCCTCATATCCAGCAAGTTTTTTTTCCTTGTTCAGCTTATTTTTTGTTCTTACAAGCTTGAAGTTTATGTTTTCTACTGATTTCATTTATTTGATTAAACTTTTATGGTACCTCATATCCTGTGCCCATCTTTTTCTTGAAACCTGTTTGTACTGTGATTAGTTCTGTAGGGTGCACAAGCCTTAACATATGTGTACTTTACACTTGGCCTCCCATATTAATGCCGGCACAGACACTTCCCAAGCTCAGCCCCACATCTAGGTCTAGAGCCCAGCCCAAACAAAGCTAAGTGAGGATCACGCGATTGACCCTTCAGATTGTTTATTTGAAATTTGATGTATATGTACCCATATAGCTGTTGAAGTCGGTTCTCACTTGATACTTGACAAGTTAGGGTTTATTTTAAACTGTTAACGAGAAATATTCGGGTTTATTCATTTGATGATTCACAAGATATGGTTTTCTTAAGCTATAAAAAATAAATTTTTGGTCTTTTTCATTGGCTTATTTATGTTTACAACTTAATATGATTTGATATTCATCCGTCTGTTCTTTAGATGTTGGTTCTCCCTTAATCATTAGCACTTCTCATAATTTATATTCTTCCTTGTCTTATTTATTTATATACATAGGTGATGATCTGATTTCTTGCATATCATGTTGTCTGTTTTATGGTTACCTAATCTTTTGGATGGACATTTTCCTCCAATGTTACTTGATTTGGTATATTTCTTAGGTAATAATATAATTCTAATGTCCTTTCCTGTTACTTGTTATAAGTAATTATTTACAGAACATTATAATAAGAAGATTAAAGTATTAAAGCCTATGAAATTTCATCCATATTTGAATAAACTATCTCATGCAATTTTTATCAGTAGAAAGTAGAAACTACCATGAAAACTTCTGTCGCAAACTTGGCCTGTTCTTTGGATGTGGATACATGTTTTTACCTTGTTGCGCTTATGCTTTTCTCTTCATGTCTCTTTTCTTCATTCGAATCCTCATCATCTCCCTCTCCTTGTTTACTACTAATCTAGTTATTTTCTTCCCTGTCAATTGACCCCAGTAATGCAGCATAAGGCATTTGGTTGCTGCTGTAATGCTTGGTGTGGAAAGAAATACAAGGATTAGGGTAGATAGTTTTATTTTTCTTCAGATTTTGGAACAGAGTCGGAGGAGAGATGGAGGGATGGTTGGTTTAGATATGAATTTGGGTTTTGGACTGGTGCAAGGGGATTGAGAGTCTTTTCTGGAGATTACGATTTATCTTGTTGTCCTTTATATAAATATTTTGTTGTAAGCAGTATCATAGGAATGGAATTTTTTATTACTAACCATGGATTTCTCTAAAAGATTAAGTGCTTTCTAATAATATTTAAATATATAAAAAAACTTACTTCTTAGTAGCTTGAAGATATATTTTAAGAAATAGTTTGTAAATATTAATTATCTATGCTGTCAGATCTAGCACCATACTCAGTAAAAAGAAGAGGGCTACAACACAGCTGAGAAGTCAACATAAGGCTTTTCCATATCAGTGAAATAACAAGCCATAACATTATTAGTTGAGGAAACGGATTATGACTACTCTGCAGAAAAGTAGATAAAGACAATAGGATGAGATATCTAGTGTACATACCTATAAAGACATGTGACAGAAGATTTATGAAAAACACTTATAGTAAGCTCAATAGTCTGAAATAAAATAATTATCTCATTAAAATAATTCATCGCTAATTATACATGAAAATATAACATGTTAATTAAGAAACATAGAAAGTTAAATGAGCTATACATTATTATAAAGTGTTATACTTTATTATAGCATGCTTACATTATTTTTAACTACTATACTTTAAAGTGTTTAATTTTTTTGGGTGAGCTATAATAATGTAGAAAAAAATGGTATTATTTTATTAACTATTATACTTTAGATCAAAATGATATAGTGTTAACCCAACAAGCTAATATATGTGATGATTCTGTATGAAAATCCATGAATGTTTTATACTTCTCAATTTTATTGTTTTTAAATAAATTTTAAATTCTTTCTTTCCATGAGAAGTAATTTTTTTATTTTTCACTTCTTTGCTAATTTTTATTTTTTCCCTTGTAAAGAGTTACCTGATTTTTATTTTTATTTTTTTTGAGTTTGTCTAAGGATATTTATTTGTTAGTGATTAGACACAGTGTTTTTAAATGCGCTTTTGGGCGCGTGCCTTGGGCGCGAAGCGCTTCAACGCAACGGCATAGCGCCCCGCATCAGGTGCGGGACGCTTCACTTGCGTCGGGCGCGCGCCTGGGAAGCGCCCCGAAGCGCCCGACGCCTTCGACGAGGCTGCGCATGAGAACATGGCTGTTTTTCTGTGGGTTATTGGGTATAAACCCACTTCCAACTTAAACCCGATTACCTTGTTAGGGCTTTGTCGCTCTTCTCCCACACCTAATCTCGATTTTCATTTGGGTCTCCACTCGGTAGCAACTTAGCGACGACTACCAGAGCTTCTTTAGGGACGATGGCGAGCAGTGACGGTGAGCGGCGACGGCGAGCGGTGACGGGCGACGGCGAGCAGGTATGTTACCGACGATGTTTTTCTGCTCCTCTTTTTTTTATTTTCGTTTTTCTGTTTTCTTTTCTCCTCAGCGAGCTCGATATTTTTGCGTTCTCTTTCTTCTTCTTTTTCTGTTCTTTTCTTTTTTTCTTTTCTTTTGTTGTTGCGTTCTCTTTCTCTGCTCCAGTCAAATGTTTTTTCCTTTTCTTTTTTTCTTTTCTTTTGTTGTTGCGTTCTTCTTTTTCCTTTTCTTTTTTCTTGTTGATTATGAATTTGTTTGAGTTGTAGCTAAAACCATTCCTTTCATAATTATATCCTCTCACTTCACAAAAGATCATCACCAGATTCACCACTTGTTCCCATCAGAGTAAAGAGTTACCGAAATGGATAATAAAGTATGCATAAAATATGATAGGATATAACAGAAATATTAATGATGGAGTTATATAATAAATATGATAGGATAATCTGAAATTGGTGGTATTAGATAATAGATATATGATGGAGTTATCACTTATCAGTTATATAATAGAAATTGGTGGTATCACTTTTTGTGGTATTAGATAATAGAAATTGGTGGTATCACATTTTGTAGTTTGGAGTGCGCCTTGCTTCGCTCGGGCGCGCGCATCGCATTGCGCCTTGTGCATGTGCGCGTAAACTGACTTTGCGCCCCGAATTGCGCCTTGCGCATTGAAAACACTGATTAGACATCATCGGGAATACAAGGTTTGAATACTGAAAATGTTTGTCTATGATGGATATTGGATAATAGTTCTGTACGGTATAGATACAAATTAATTACATATATGCCTACTGATCTGATGTTGCCTACACACCCTGCTTGATCAACTATTGCCTCTTTAATTCATAAAGTTGGAAAAATAAAATTAAAAACCAAACAACTAAATTATGAGTTGATACTAAATGAAAAGGCAAACAGGAGTAATAATTTTGCATTAAAACAAGCTTTTAGCTATTATAGCTTCTGTTTGACGAGGTCCCTAAACCTAGATAGAATTGATCGTTCCAAACCTGAATGCTAGATAAAAAAAACACAAAATAAGTGGTCTCAAAATAGAGATTAAGAAGGATGTGACTGGAGGCTTATTTTTGGTCTATGTCGGCTCCACATGAGATCATCATTTCCTGCTTATAAATTTAACTAGGCTAGATAATAAATCCACAACCATATGAGACATGAAGGAAGAAAATCAACATCCACCTTGTGCAAGGGTGATGAACTGCTAGAGGGAGCCGTCCACGCTCTCTCGCTGTGCTCTGACAAAACCGATGTTGAGAAGCAAGCATCACCCTCTATTATTGTAAGGTTGGAGCCTAGAGTTCGCCACGGGAAGGCACTGCTTCTCCAACCCCTCTTCCTTGTCCACCCTCTTCCCTTCCTCATCTTTTGTTCCACCATCATTAGCCTACTCCCGTAGATTAAGCCTCTTTCAAGAAAAGAGAAAAGGGTAACCTGCGATTTTTTGTTTTCCTAGGATGGATCCACAATATAAATACATCCATCCATTATAGATACTTAGGCTTAAACATAATTAGTGCTTAGGATTTAAGGTGTAAGAGGAAATTCTAAAGTGTTAAGAGTTCTAAAAATTCCCTTTAAAGAACTAGGCTTAAAAGGACAAAAAAATTGTAATGAAAGATCACATAACCGAGAAAGTTGAGACTGATTAGAGACAAGAAAGTGAGAAAAAGGTATAAAGTTGACATTTGTTAAGAAAATAAAGATGAGGTGGTGAGACTATTATGCTCACAATGTATATTTAATGTTGTATCAACTTTGTTTCAATAATATTATAACTTGATACCTCTGATATGTAGTTTACTTGTAGGAAAATTTGTGTCTAGGCCCCATAATTGATAACTTCATATGACTAAGCCCTTGCAACTTTGGGCCATGTGCAAAAGCTCCAAAAAACCCGAAAGCACAAATTCAATGTGTTTCAGCCCTTTGTTTCTTGCCATGTCATCACAGAGGAAAAACCCAACAAAATCCACAAACTATCCTCTCTCCCTCTTGCTGCCTCCCTCTCCCTTTCACCATGTTTTTCTCTAAAAAGATCTCTGCCCACCAAATAAATTCTCACAATCTCGATTCTGTTTGGCGCTATCGTCCTTGAGCAGTATTACCCTCCGTCATCGTCCTTGTAAGCCTCTCTTTCAAGAAAAAGAAGAGAGAAAAAAGTAAAAACACAATATAAACAATCTCGTTTTCTCCTCCTTCTTCAGTCTAATTAAAGAAAGTATAATTATGTATATTAATTAAAGAGAGAAGGGGAAGGAATCAATAGCTTCAGGAGGGAGGCTGCTAATAGGGGGACACTAATAGGGGGGATTGCTAGTGGGTTTGATTTTATTTGTTTAATGTGTTTGATTTTTGAATGTAATTTTAGTTTTCTAGTGAGTTTTACTTCCTTTCTAGCTCTTTTTTTAATATTGTTTTTTAATTGTTTTAAGAATATGGGTTTCTCATTTTTGTTGTTTGGAATGACGTGTATGAGTTTTTCATTTTGGGTTTGATTCAGGATTTACACTAAAAAGATCTCTGCTTTATAACTAATATCAATGATGGGTAATCCATCTCCTCAGAGATTAAAGTACTTCACTGTGCAAAATTAGTATCATGGAGATGAAGAGGGAGAAGGGGAATATATAATTTTGTAATAAAAAGAGAAAAATGTCATATGGAGAACCTGCCGTGTAGTTGATGTTGTATTGTAAACATTGAAATTAGACAAACATATGATGTATGCGTTAAGTTTAATTGATAGATGTTAGCTATATAATTTTGGTGTTAAGTTTAGCAAAAGATGTCAAATATATGATATTATTTGTTAAATTTAACAAATAGATGTTAAATATATGAATTAACTGTTGAGTTTAAAAAATAGATGTTAACTATTTTACTTATGTGTTAAATAAAAATTAACATCTATTATGTCAACTTAAATACCTATTGAAAATTAACAATTATCGTATAACGTTCAACTGTGAAACTTAGATATTAAACTGAATAGCTAATTAGTTGCTAAGTCATATATTTAACATCTATTTGTTAAATATATTTGTTAGTTCTTTGCGTGTAGGTTATGTGAAATTTAGTTTGAGTTGTTGTTTGGAAATTTAAAGAGCTAATTGTATGGGTTCATTATGAACAATGAAGGATTGGCTGTGAATATTGGCAATTGGATGCTAACTTTACTTGTTGTATGTTAAGTTTGTAACACAACTATTAAATTTATATAGTACATGTTAATTTTAAACATTGATTCTTAAGTTTATCCATTGGTTATCAAGTTTAGAGTCTAACTGTTATGTTTACCCATTGGGTATTATGTTTAGAGTATAACCGTTATTGATTGTTAAGTTTAGGGTCATTTGCAAAAAATATCCTAGTCAATACCTTAGCAGCACTACAAAACAACACAAAAATATTAAAACAACAAAAATGCACCAAGAGTGTCTTTTCTGTTTTTCATAATTAGCTGCTATTTCACAATGTAGGTTAAAATAAATCCTATTTCTTCTCCATTTCCTCTTTAATTGGGAGTAATAAGAGCCTCCAAATTCTACTCCATCCAACCCTCTCCAGCTCAAAAGTTCCTTGTGAGAATCATACATAATAATACAATGTAAATGTAGAGTTGTTGGTGAAAGGGTGGTCTAAGGAGAAGCAGTCATTGCAGCTAGGAGATGAATAACGAGATGAATCAAAGCATGATCTTTTATAGAAATAAAGAAGGGCAGGGTAATCCGTTGTCTACAACTACCAATGGGCCAAATTGATGATCTATACAAAAGAAAAGGCTCATTTTCCATAGCTTGGCACGATTTTTCCGATGAAAAAAAAACATCAAAATTAAAATTTCAAGAAATTACCATTGCCTAGCCAAGCCGCAAGACGTCTCATCTCTCTGGCATAATATCCTTCACCATCTCTTCATCTTCATCATCTTCACTGTCAATATTTGAATCTCTACCCTTCAAAAACGAATTCAGTGTCATAAAATCCTAGAATTTCGACCTCTCCAAGTTTGGATTTAGAGCCATAAAAAACCCTAGACTTTAGACCTCTGAAAGTCCTGACAACATGCGACGACTTAATGTGGTATTGCTCAAGTACCACAACGAGGGATGGAGATGAGATGGCGAGAATTTCTTTGGTGAGCGGAGATCTTTTTGGAGGTCTTTTTAGCGAGGGTTGGCAATTTGGGGTTTTTTGGGGTTTTTTGTTTCTCTCAGTGATGACATGGCACTAGACAACGGGCTAAAACAAAAATTTTCTAAACTTTTAGGGCTTTTACACATGGTCCAAAATTGTATGGGGCTACTCATGAAGTTTTCAATTTTGGAGCCTAGATACAAATTTTCGTTATTTATAACCATAGTGAGCATTATATCTATGAGAACACTTTAGATAACCATTGTATAAGGCATGCAATCTTCTAATGTTCTACATATACATATAGTTTCCATCTACGTTGCATGGGTATGGGTACCTGTTTACGTACACGTGTATCGGTCCAGGACACTGCAAATTTGTAAAAGATAGGGTGCGGGAACACGACTATATAAATATTTATATACACATATATTAAATATTGGAGTTAATAATTTATGAGAATTACGATGAGAATTAAAATTTCGACAATATTTTTATGTTTTTTTTATTATTTGGATTATAAATTGGAAAGTCACTAGTTCTTGAACTAGATATCCAAATGATCCTTCAAAATCATAATTCGGAACTTGATCTATGTCCAACGAGTTTCAAGAAGTGGATGTGAAATGTAGGATACATGTCTAAAAAATGTATGAAATGTATGTCAAGCGGTTTAAATTAAAACATGTATTGTATAATTGAGTAGATGCCCCAATAAATATATGCATATATGCATATATGCAAGGAGTGTCCAAGGAACTAGTACGGGTATGTGTAGGGTACATGTACGGCTTCATATTAGAAGTACCCACGTAACATAGGTTTCCATATACCTATGCGGCGAGATCCAAGGCACAAAAGTTGGATGGGGGTGATGATGTTGTAAGGAATGAGTAGCTTTGTGGGGAAAGTTGGCTTCTTGTCATAGTTGAGTGGACTTTGATTAGTTATCTGCCTGTGTTCGCAAAGGAGCATTGGAGGGGGCAGAGCTTGGTGCCGATCAAAAGATTCTCTGATGCTCAAGTCAGTGCTTTTAGGAAGAAGATTCTCCAATGCTCAAGTCAGACTTTTAGGAAGAATGCTCATCTAAAAGACTTGAAAGTAATCGTATGAATGTAGGAGGGATAATATTGTTGGGAATGAGTAATTTTGTGTGAGTAGCTTTGTGGGAGAACTTGGCTTCTCGTCACTGTTGAGTAGACTGCTAAACGATTTGCCTGTGTTCGCAAGGGAGCATTAGAGGACCTGGAGCTTGGTTCTGATCAAAATATTCTCTGATGCTTAAGTCAGCGCTTTTAAGAAGAATGCTTAACTAAAAGAGTTGAAACTAATTGTATGAATGTAGAAGCTGTAATGTAGAACATACCTTGGTTTTTGGAGATGGTTTTATATATTGAGCGGAAGGGATTGCTTTCTGTGTTTGTTATTCTGCGGCATAAGATTACAGATGTCGACCTGTAGTTGATTGTTTGTTACATGCCCACACTTTTGGCAGTGGCCCAGGGCACCTGACCTAACCATGCCAATGCATTAATCATGCTAATATATGGATACAGTTGGTGATTTGATTTGAATTGACGTAGCCACTGATAGAGTGAATTGGCACTGGGTAACAGGGTCTTGGGTTTTCTTAGGTTTTAGATGAAAGATCAAAGACAATGTCTGTCCTTACTAAGTTGAGAGTAAGTCAATGTCCTCTCTCCCCTGTGTATCTCTCTTTGTTAGAGAGAGATGCAGAGGGAGAGGGAGGATAAAAGGTGAAAAAATAATATTTGACAGCTGTTAATTCCGATTGTTAACTGACAGTCGCTAACTGCTAGGCATGTAGTCAAAGTGTATTAATCGGTCAAACGAATGATAGTAGTGATTGTTGTGTGCTATGCTAGTACCCTTATTAATATATCACAAACAAGAAATTAACACAGAAAAGTTCCCTGCTTAAAGCTCGCCAGGTTTGAGCATAGTTGTGAGTGGCGTACTGGACATAATCTTCAGCGGAACATTCATTTATCCATTTGATTTGTGAAGTTCTAAGAAAACTAGTTGCTTTTGCTTGCAAGACGAGATTTCTGTTAATGGCTGCATACATGCAATTTGAAGAGGCCTCTTTTTTGCGATATGGTCTTGTTCTAATGCATTATCAATTAAGAATGCGGTCTTGTCCTAATGCAATCTGGATTAAGAACATTTTCTTAACTATGTTACCATTTTAACCTCACAATGAGGGTCCTTATTGTGGAACTCAGTTGACTGTCAAGTGCTAAGTCAGCTATGACGACAAACTCTTTGCCCACCTTGGCAGAGGAAGATGCTTTCTTTTAACCACCTTTTTTAGGTGAGGAAGACTTGTTTTCTTGTATGATTAGATGCTGATAGTTGCTGTCCAACTGTGAGAAGTAATGGGATTTCTTGTTGTGTCCTAAATAAGTCACTGTGACATACAAGATGAATGGAACAATGGACTCTTTCACTCGGTTTCTTTGGACAAATGTTAAAATATCATCTTATGTAGATGCTTTGCTGAAACTTCAGATAGCTTGTTGATGTTATTCTTTTGATTATTTGCAGCAGCTGGTGCGGGGTCCTTTTTTGTTGAAAAACGGTTGATTGGATTGTTAATGAGCTTTTTGATTCTCCCCCTGCTGCTATCCTCTTAATCCATGTTTTAATTCTCTGTCACTTCCATTGCCATTTTGTTGCGCTTACTGACGGCAGTTGTTGCAGGAGGTTACATATGGCTTGGCAATTGAAAGGCAACTCCCAACATATTAAGCTTATTGATTAGGGTGCTGGAGCTTATTACATAGAGTACACCTGAGGCATCTCTACAAGTGTATATATATAGATAGAGATGTTGGCATACCTTCTTTCTCTTATACAAAGTTCTCCCCCAAAGGGTTGGAGAACTCTTTTGAGTTGTAAGATAACACTGTATGTTCATGCTGTAGAGTGCAAATTTTATTAGAACATCCCACATAGGACCATAGCGTTCTGAGCCATTCGTTGACCCCATATATGGTTCAGAACATCTCTCGCATGAAAGATGTTCTGATAAGATTTGTATTCATGCTTTAATATAGATTTAACTGTTTCTGTTCTCATTTTTATTATAGAGCGTGTCTTTACTGAAAATACTTCACTGTCTTTACTGGTATATTCCTAAGTTATTGAGATCCCAGATTGATATGTGAGCTATGTAGATTATCTCTTGAGTTACAACCCCGGGTGGAACTTGACTCCATGTATCATTGCGAGCAATGTCTGAGAAAGTATTGCTTCCCGGATTGTTGATTGAGCCATTGAAAGATTGCAAGCTGGGAAGCACCCAGATGTGCTGTTATGATGATGCACTTCAAATAAATTCGTAATAATTATTTTACTCCTTTGATACACTTCAATTATAAGAACTTAATGAGATTTAAAAAAAATTATAAGAACTTAAAGAAGCAACAAAACTTAGGCATGTTGGTTTCTATGTATTTTTCCTTTCTAATTACTTGGTTTTCAAACCCGTCCAAGGATTTGTAGGTACCCTATTTCAGGAGAATTCACGTTGACAATGAAATGAGCAAAATACTTTTTTATGATCTTGGTGGTTTCGTGCAGAACTTTAATAGAGAAGATTTTCCTGAACTTTCAGTATCTATACAAATCTTCCTTGAGACTACTATTGGCGTGTCATAAAAGGTGCCTGTGTGAAGGGCAGAGGTTTAATGTTAGCAGATGAGTAGAGGGGACAACTTAAAAGGAGATGAGAACGATGAGGGGAATTAACGGCAACTTAAATTTCCTATCATGAATACTTCATTGAGACATGATCATTATGCCATGTTTGGAGCCTATGTTCCCCTTGGCATCCCCTTGAGACTCATTGAGTGCCTTAGAGACTCACTAAGTGCAACACAAAAAACAAAGAGTATTCTTGTTACATGATGGAATTCTCTCATATGAGGAAATATGGTTGGATTGTGACCAAGTGAACCAAGTGAATAAAGTGAACAAAGGGAGAGAGAATGACTCATAATTCCACTCGACTGATCAACACTTATGAGAGAATCCTAAATTAAATACTAGCTTAATTCTAGTCAGTTTGTATATACCAAATTATCCTAATTTAAATCATTTTCTAACTTTATCACTTCAAAAAAACAAATAAGAATTTTCAATATACCTTTCGCAAAGTAACTTTTCATCCCAATTGTATGTGACCTAGACAAAGATTTTGAAAAATTGTCGATTGTTAGGATTTGATATAATCATGAGATGGAAGAATGGACTTCCCTCTTAATTTTCATGTTTGGCCAGAAGGGAAGCATGAAGATGTGGATTATTTCCTAGTTCTTTTTTGTCCTTTCCTTTTCTATCCTCCTAATTTGGGAGAGTTCTACTCTCTTTAGATTTATCTTTTGTTTTGTTTGCCCTGCACTACCCATCCCCTCATACCAAACCATTTCGAACACCATGTTTGGAAATTCGTAGTGGTAAAGAAAGTTAAGTGAAGAGGTGATAAGGGAAGTAAAGGGAATATAAAGAAAATGTAAATATTTTTTGAAATTTTAGTAATGAGAATGTAGGAGAACTTGTTCAACCTCTTTGGGAACTTCAATAAAAGATAAGAAACTTCAAACTCAATCTTAGCTATAGATTTGATCTTGATAGGCAGGTAAAATTGAACAAGTGGAACAACATTCTTTTGATCAATTTTCTTCCCCTCAATTATGCCCCAATTTGAGAGGGAACAAAATCCCACAAGTTTTCACCTCAATTGACTTAACTTTTTCTTCGTTACCCCTCTCAAATGAGTTGTGCTTCTGAAAACAAACTATGAAGACAAGGATTTGCAAGTATACGTTCCACTAGACCAGCCCCCATCTCCTCCCCACCAGCCCTGGCCCCCCCGTCCTTTCCTCCCTACCACCAGCCCCGCTCCTCCCCAACTCGGACCCACCCCCTCCCTCCCTTCCTCACCAGCCCCCCCTTTTTTTCCTCCCTACCTTCCAGCCCCTCCTCCCTACCTCGCCACCTCCGGGCCGCCTAACTCCGCGCCCACTCCTCCCCCCTTCCTCGGCCCCCTATCTCCGGGGCCCCCCTTCCTACCACCAGCCCCCCCTCTTTTCCTCCCCCAACCTCTAGCCCCTACCTCGCGCCCCCACTACCTCAGCCCCCCTCCGTCCCGCCCCGTACCCAGGCCCCACCTCAGGCGCCCCCCTTTGTGAGGCATTCGGGAAGTTCCGGTGTCCTCCTTTGTGAGGATATCCTCTATCCTCGTTTGTGCTTCTTCGTGATACATTAGGGAAGTGTCAGTATCCTCCTTGTGAGGATATTAGCTTTCCTTGTTTGTTCTCTTTCGTGCTTTTAGATCTGACTTAGTTCCACCACCCATCCCAATTCCGCCTAGTCTCATTCCAGATTCGCCTTAGCCACATCCTTCTTCTTTTTCTGTGGTGAATCTGTAGGTTCTTAGGCTCAGCGTCACATCTGGTTTTTGGCTCTTGTTCTGCCCTAGCACCCACCACCTCATTCCCTCCTCCAAACCCTACCCGACACATCTTTTTGGGATCCAAGCCTCTGTTTTTTGAGTTTTTTGAGTTGAAAAAAAAGGTTCATGAAGATGGAGAGAGGAGCGTTCGAGAAGACTAAGATGGGAGCAAATGCAACTAAGGTATGTCATCCATCATATCATGGCATTCTTGCCTCTTCACCTCGCCGCCAGGTACTTCATCATCTCGAGAAGGGCTATGTTATCATATCATGGCATTCTTGCCTCTTCACCTCGCCGCCAGGTACTTCATCATCTCGAGAAGGGCTATGTTATATCTAAGATGTTCAAAAATCCTTTCACCTCGCCGCCAGGTACTTCATCATCTCGAGAAGGGCTATGTTATATCTAAGATGTTCAAAAATCCTTCTCTCCCTAGTTTCAATACATCTGCACCAGCTTCAATGCTTAAGTCATATCCTAATTCACTGTTTCCACGACCCTTCAATTCCCTTTTCGATAATCGTCGTCCACCAATTAAACCGACAAAGAGCTTAGGATTTTTAGATCCTAAGGTAAATGACGGGTGGACTACTGTTACTCGTAAGAAAAGAGGTCGAATTATGGACAAAAGTCTGCTTCGTCCTCCCTTTCCTTCAGCTTATATGGATCATAAGAAACCAAGACGGTGCTTCTTTTGTGGAGATGATCGGCATTCTACTAGGCTTTGTCCTAAAGGTACTTTTATCTGCTTTAAATGTCATGGGGAGGGACATATTGCAAAGAATTGCAGATCCAATCTTCGCCCTTTGGAGAAGAAGATAGATCTATCTGACTCTTCTACCCTTTGCAATAACACCAAAGTTCTTACATCATTTGCCATCCTATCAATTACAGAGGGCTCTCCTTCTCTTGAGTTGATTAAGTTTAAATTGTCTTGGCTCTTTCAATGGCAGAGATGGACTGGAAAAGTTATCCCCATTCAAGACAACAGATTTCTGGTGGAATTTCCATCCATTCTTCAGTTATCTGAAGCCGTAGAAGTGAAACTGCATGATTTTGCAAAATTTAAAGGATGGTTTGCACCGTGGACCGAGAATACTGGCATGAAAATAGTTGATTCGGCTTTCTATCAGTGGATCAAAATTAAAAATCTTCCTTTTCATTTTTGGTCCATGGATATAATTGAGAAGATCATTAGTTCTTTTGGTGTCATGGTCAGGGGGTGCAAAAATATTAGGGATAAGTTAAATGGCCAAGATGTTCGTGTTCTAGTTAAAGTGAAGGCGTCGGACGATATCGCAAAAATAGTTTTTTGCTCCTACACTTCTCAGGTGGATTTCATCACAAGAGAAGTTAAATTAGATATCATTCCTATTGGTGTTGGCCAATTAGGATCAGATGTCTTCAGCATGCATCTCTATGGAATAGAAGCTCAAGATGTCCTTGCTTTAGATACTCAATGGACAGTACAAGTTACTACACCTGTTGAGAAGTCGCCGGAATTTTCTCAAGGTCAGGCAAGCGGAGCAACGTCAGACAAAGGGGAGGGTATTCTGGTATCTTCATCACTAATTTTGAAATCATCTAATTTTCAGAAATTTGATGATGACACAATGCTTCCAAAGGAAAGTTCTCCAATTTCAACTGAAACAGCTTCAGTCCAGTTCACTTGCTCTGTCCCACCTGGTTTCTCCCGCCGTCCAGCTTCTTCAACATCCCCAATTTCGATATTAGCTAATATTCAAGAGATCCCTTCTGGTACGACGCCACCAAATGCAAGTTTTCAAATTATATCAACGGCTGCTATGGAGGAGGATCCTAAGGCTACAAATCAGGAAGATTCTTTAAACAGAAGCTCAGATTCATTTACCGATTCTCTCAATGATTTTCCTATGGAATTGGTTAAGCAAACATGGAAGGGCCGATCATTTTTTATTGAGAGATCTACTTGGTATAAATATCTTGGCGGGAAAGCAGACTATTCAACTTCAAACTCAACGGCTACCTCATTCCCGCATAAATCATCTGAAACTCCAGCAGTTCAGTCCTCTAGCTCTGTCCCACCAGGCTTTTCTCGTCATCCAGCTTCTTCATCAAATTCTCGTTCTTTTAGGAAGGCTATTTTTAGTCACAAGCACAAGAGCTTCCTCAAGAAAGTCTCTTCTTCAAAAAAGAACGTTCGCTCATCAAAGAAAGGTACTAAACCTCTATCTTCCAATTCTGTTACTGCTGATCTACCGATTAATTTGCTAGATAAAAATATTATTGCTCATATTACTGATAATTGTGGAGTTTCTTTATTGGACCAATCTCTAGACAATATCAAATCTAAAGAAGTGGAGAGAAATAGGAAGACTAATTGATCGGTCTGGTCATTTTGTAGTTGAGTTTTGTTGATATCTTTCCTTTTAATGAAACTCACATCTTGGAATGTTTGCGGTCTTAACGATCCTATCAAGAGACGAGTGGTTAAAGATTACTTATCTCGTTCTTATATTGATGTTGTTGGCCTTCAAGAAAGTAAACTTTCGAATCCTTCATCAAGGAAGCTTTAGTCAATAGGCGGTACGAGACTTATTCACTGGTGTCATCTTGACTCCATAGCTTCCACAGGAGGAGTCTTAGTTGGTTGGACTGATGCTTTCTCTTT